GCCTTTTGCCAAGTAAAGAGTGAGGTGGCCGAGCTGATCTCACATGTCGCTGCTGTTGAAAGGCACAATGCTGCTCCATGCTACCTCCAAAAGAGAGCTGGGTGTTGTGGCGGAGGGGAGGACTGCCAAGTAGCACCAACAAGCAGAGCAGCTCATCACTTAAAAAAAAAAACACCTCATCTGAGGCTTTGAGAACAAGATCAAGCATGGTAGATGCTGTTGCAAAAAACAGTAGATAAATTGTGTGTGTGTATATAAAGGGCAAGTTTATCTACTGTTGCATGCTCCTGCTGTTCAGTAATGCACTGGGGCAGGGGCAGAATGCCCAACATTGTTCTGTTGCTTACTTTAAATAACCCTTTGGTACAGGCCAAAACCTTGCAGCCAGTTCAAGGACCTAGGTGTGATACAACCCCACTACAATTAGGATCCGAGTTGTATTTGACACCAGAATAACAACAGGATCAGTCTTACAGGAATCTCACTCTGCAGTGTGCTGAAGGAGTCGTGTGAAAAACAAAACTGAGTTGGTGTTCCTGCTTTGAGAGTGAATTAAGCCAGGCAGTTAAAAATACTTGTCCAGCTTCTTCCATGGTCACATTCTTTTAAAATAGACCGAAGCCGTGGCATCTATCACAATATATCATAAGCACAGCAGGAAAGTAGCATCCCCATCATTACATCAGTCTGTTCTTGTGCTTAATGCCACTGTCACGTACAGCAGGGAGAAAGAGTGAACTGTACCTTGTCTTTGTCAGTAACTGTGTGCTTCAGAAAAGCCTGTTGACAGCAAGAGGAGACTTCACCACTCATAGTATTTTTTAGGTTGGAAGAACCACCGGATTTTTTACTTGCATTTAGGAAGAGGTAAAAAAGTTGCAAAGTTGCTGGTTGAGATTTCACTACCATATGCCAAAGCAATGATGCACTGAAAGCGAGGATGTTCCCTAAGATGACTTACTGTCAGAGGGAGGAGGGGAATAATCCAGCTACTTTGCTTTAGAGTACATAAACAGTTATGTACATTTGCAATTCCCACTGAGTAACAGCCTGATTGTGCTGGAACTCAGCTG